TGGTTCCTGTTCTGCTGTTCACAGGATTGATACCCTAATGGTAAAGTCGAGCGGTCAAGGGTCAAAAGTTTCCAATTTAGCAAGAGGGCGCCATTCATGCCTTATTACAGAATTTGCACGCGTAAATCGCGGAGAACGCTATCTTGTGTTTATAAGATCTTTGATATTATTATAAAAGCGTTAGTTGGCGTCCTACACTATCTGCGTAGAGCGTATCGTTTTTTTACGCTCCCAATGAGCGTTGTTGGCTCTCTTGTTCTATTTATACTCTTTGATATTATTCGACAAACTCATTTTAAAGGTTTATATTAATGCAACATCTTTAATAGGTGCCTACTTTATTTCGAAACATTACCAATTTCAGCAGCTTTACGTATATGACACTAACACAGAAGCATTCTGGGTCAGTTGTTTCAACGTACTTTCATTGCATTGATCGGCCAGCTTTTGGCAATGCTGATTGGTTGTTCTAATTGGCAAACATTCCCGTTTGCGTCAGTGAAACAATGTAGCGACAGAGTAAATTGGACCTAATATACATAAGGTTAACTGATTAAGTAAATTAGACCTAATATACATAACACGGTTAACTGATTAAGTATTATAGTATGGTACGAATATATCTTCTAGACTTTCTATATTGCAATATTTTATTAAGTATTATATTTCATTTATTTAAATATTTACTTTGTTAACTATACTTGTGTACAAAATATAAAAATAAATTGTCACATGTTTTTATTGATAATGGGACAATCAACTAAATAATCATCACAATACAACTGATAAAAAATACAATATTGTAGCTTTAATATATCTCTTTAAAACATTTAAATCGCCTAACGATGCAACAACAATTCACATTACAATGGATCATTTTTGATTTTTCATGTTATGAAACCAAAGGTAAAATGCGAATCACCTATGCTCTGATATATTAATGTAGGCATATGCAAAATACCTGTACCGAGAATTTCTTGTTAATTAAACGGAGGTAATAAAGATTACCGGTACTGGCTTTGAAACTGGTCAATAAATAGTAAATTGACGTCGTTGTTGAACTTTTACTCTGCATTAAGTAGTAAACCACTCTAGTCGTTGCACAGCACACTGTATACTGATATAGGATTGTGTTTGTTCAACTCCCAAGAAAAAAAAAAGGGAAAGGAGTTCTACATGATGCACGGAAGATAACCAACATGTTGGTTATAGCACATCAAGTCAAATACTATACATAATAATACAGTGCTCAAATAGAGAAATGTGGAATTAGATCGTATCAGAACATAGTTCATCAACGAATTCCTTAAAAACAGGTCTGTGGTTGAAATCGGACCTGTAATCTTTCGCTGTACCGTTTGGACCTACAAAGGCCTGTACGATTACGGATCTAAGACAACTAGTCTCTCTCCCCTCAATACAACTTGATTGTTCACACACAGTGGAGCGAATTTTTAAGCTACGTAGTAGCTTATAGGTAGCAGCTGGTAAATCATAAGAAAAAATATTCAAAATCGAGTTGCTGCTTAGCACTGGGAACAGATAAATAGATAATAATACATTGCTCAAATATAGAGGAACATACGGTATTTCTCTATTATTTGAGCACTGTATTACTAGGTACCAAATGACAATATAATATGTATATTATTTAAATTTTTTTTATATATTGTTTGTTATACATATATATATTATTATATATTATTATATATATATATGTATTTTCGTTTTTATATTCTTCAAAATGCTTCGCATTATAATAGAATAAGCTCCATGATTATACTGCAGAAACTGACGTTTTACAGGTACTGTATAGTTTGTTAAACATAGTCCATTATTGGGCAAGTTGCTATCAGCCATTGGTCATCTGTAAAAACGCAAGACCAATTACTAACTGCCTAATAAAATTACATTCACATTGTACATGACATGCGTGTAAAATTAAATGAACTGAAATGAACCTTAACTTTCAATTTTACAGAGAAATTCCCTACCACAAGGTAAACAGCTATTCTTGATATGAGGTTTAAGACCTGTCTGAAGTGGGGACTCCCCACCCCTGATGGTGCCGTTACTAATATAGATGGCGTTCATAAGTCTCTTATGTATAGGAATATTAAGTAGACAATTTATTAGCATAATTTATTTCAACATTAAATGTACCATCACCGCTTGATGTTCTATTTTGTAATGATTTTGTGCTATCGATTTGCGGATTACACGCCTCTTTAGCAGCAGAGCAACCTTTGTGAGACACCAGAGCTCCCTTTTCCTCCATACTTAGCCGCTGCTGTGATGAAACTGATTTTGCATCTTTAAGTCTCTTTCTTCTCGCTCTCCATTTGGTGAACTGCTCCCTAACCTGTCGAAAACAAACCACATCGAAATGCATGTAGTATTTATTCTAGCGAGTTAGAAGTTTACATTTTAGAATACTTTTCCAAAAAATTCAAATACTCAGGTATGTGTCACTAAACACGGAAGCAGGTTGGTTCCAGGGGGAAAACCAGCATGGTCGTGCAGTTTAAATATTTTCGGTTTTAATAGGCCAATGGATGTGCGTAATTTCACATAATAATAATAATAATAATAATAATAATAATAATAATAATAATAATAATAATAATAAAATAATAAATAATAATAAATAATAATAATACATTGCCATTTATATGGCGCATATTGCACGGACTGCCTCCATGCGCTAAATGGAGGCAGTATCGAAACATTATGCAATGTATAAAATTAAAGATGATAAAGGTGTGGCGGAAAAAATTGCAGAGTCTCATTGGGTCAACCATCAGACTATGCTCTGGCGCAATTCCAGATCTCTACCTATGTTTCGCGAAAAAAGAAGCAGGTTTCACATTTGCCCAGCCACAGACAAATGGGTGCTCAGAGTCCGCGACTAAGTTAGTGGCCCCGAGAGGCACACCAAATTCATGAATAAATAAAGAAATAAATAGATGATATGTTTTACAAAGAACTTAAATGACTCGACTGAGTAGACACAGCGAATATGAAGAGAAAGTTCACTCTAAACTCAGCAGCTGCAGCAGAAAAGGCTCTCTGGCCACATGCAGTTGTAGAAATCTTGGGTATTTGTGGAAACATTTTAGATGGTGATCTTAATGAGCGTGATGGACGGCATTAACAATTGTTTTAGAGATGTATATACTGTACTACATACTAGAGAATGTTGAGGATAATTGATGATACTAATGGTGCTGATGATAATGATACTAATAATGATAATGATGACGGAATTGCGATGTTTGTTTAACCATAGGAAAATGGTTAACCTACCTCCACGTCCAGGAGACAGTAGACTATAAATATTGCCAATCCTTGCAAACAGTTTAAAATATCGAATAAATACTCGAAAATTCTACTTTCTTTCGAAATTGCGAAAGGTCCGAACACCCAAGTTACTCCAAACACAGGAACCAGAAACAAGGTCGCCTTCACAGTTTTTCTGAGAAAAAAAGAAGTAGCACAAAATTGCGAACGACTATATTTTACCATTGAATTAAAACAATTATTTGTTATTGTATTTTAAATCTATCTAGTTCATGAATTCAGCTTGTCAGTGGTGTCGCCAGCTGGGGTGCAGGAGGCTTCACCCTCGTCAAGTAGAGGACTAAAGCCTTGGACCCCACTAGGGCTTCAATCTCTGCCAGAAATCGGCAGGCTCCACCCCTCGGGAAACTTCTCCCCTCGGTGTTGGACACACACTGGCCCGCCACTTATGAATTTGTTGTGTGACGCAGCTGAACGCGTTGGACCAGAGGTCGTTAGTCTGACACCAGTAGTCATAACGTTTGTTCTTTTTTGGGGGGGGGCAAGACGCTTTCTGCTTTACCCCAGGAGTATAAATGGGTAGGCCTACCTAGTAAGAAATGAATGATTTGGAAAGAAAAATTGCAGTGCTCAATTATTTATTATTATTATTATTATTATTATTATTATTATTATTATTATTATTATTATTATTATTATTATCTTAAGAATACTTACGAAATCGCACATTGTTGAATGGAAATTTTATTTTATTTGTTTTATTTTATCCAAAACATAATGACTAGAGAAAACTTTTACAGCTGTTGCGCTTTCATCAAACATTTACGCTGCATGGTTATGAAATTATAAATTTGAGCTAAATGGTTAGACCATGAAATTGAAGATTAGGACATATATCTCAAGTAGGTTAGGTTAGTCTTGTGGCTCTGAAATCTGCTATTATCTAATGAAATTTACATAAGACATATTTCAATAGGTTACGTTAGTCATGTGGCTTTGAAATCTGCTAGTACTGTATCTAATTAAATTTACATAGGACATATATCTTCAGTAGATTACGTTAATCGTGTGGCTCTGTACTCCACTTTTTCCTAATGAAATTTACATTCAATTAATGTAAATTATAGTAAAATTATTCATTGTCATATAACCGCATCGTTATTAATTTTGAGATTATGAGTCCAACAGACAATTACTTTCAATATTATTTTCCTAACAACTATACACCAAGGTTGCCTTATCTTAAGAATACTTACGAAATCGCACATTATTGAATGGAAATTTTATTTTATTTGTTTTATTTTATCCAAAACATAATGACTAGAGAAAACTTTTACAGCTGTTGCGCTTTCATCAAACATTTACGCTGCATGGTTATGAAATTATAAATTTTAGCTAAATGGTTAGACCATGAAATTGAAGATTAGGACATATATCTCAAGTAGGTTAGGTTAGTCTTGTGGCTCTGAAATCTGCTATTATCTAATGAAATTTACATAAGACATATTTCAATAGGTTACGTTAGTCATGTGGCTTTGAAATCTGCTAGTACTGTATCTAATTAAATTTACATAGGACATATATCTTCAGTAGATTACGTTAATCGTGTGGCTCTGTACTCCACTTTTTCCTAATGAAATTTACATTCAATTAATGTAAATTATAGTAAAATTATTCATTGTCATATAACCGCATCGTTATTAATTTTGAGATTATGAGTCCAACAGACAATTACTTTCAATATTATTTTCCTAACAACTATACACCAAGGTTGCCTAAATTGATATTTTTCTGAGTTTCGTTGATCAGGTGTACTTGAATCGTAAATTCGTGTGTTCGGGACCGACGCTTGTCATACTACTTTCGTCATTTGGCAAGACATTTATCAACATTTACCTCTTCGCCAAGGGGTATAAAATGGGGTGGTGGTGAATGATGGAGGTAAATGATATGAAATGAAAATGCTGAATTAGGCTACACGTAGGAATACCACCTCCCACCACGCGGGGGCACACGTGCCTCTAAAAATTACTCGCACGCCCCAGTCGCCCCCGCACAAAAAAAAAAAAAAAAAAAAAACACGGTCAGTTAAAAATGACCTAAATTCACCGTATTTTGCGAATTAGCCCCTCTCAAATGATCATCAAGCCCACCCCCCCCCCACACACACACCCACTTCAACTTCGCACCTCCCCATCAGCACCCCCATTTCAAGACTTCTGGATACGCCACTGTGGACTGTGCATTCAATGTCCAGGAAAATAGCGCATTGAGCGATTCTTCTGAATTTTGCGCTATAGTTAGTCCTATCTAAATAAAGATATAAATTAAAATTACTTACAAGGTACTTTCATTTTGCTTTTGTTCAGATCGTGGTAGTCTCGATCTAGATTTTATGTAAATAGTTCGTAACGTCATAATCAAGATGGCTGTGTTAAACTGCAAAATACATAGTATGATATGAAACGGCTGAATATTTATTCACAATATTATTTTTTATTGAGTTATTGCACAATATTTCATATAATGATGCGAAAACGTTGAGTTCGGCAGTAGAACACAAATATTTTTATTTGCGATACGAAAAGTATCAGTGTTAACACTTAAATCAAACCATAAGAGCCAAAACAGTTTCTTTGCTCTTTGAAGAAACCAAGCAGCAGTGTAGAGATTGGGAATTGTTTGCTGAAGAAGGGTCCGTTATCACTATCCATCATTTGTTGCTAATGTTATAATGCATTTCTCATGGTCTTTAGTGTATTTAGACGACTTAACATTTATTAATACTAAACATGCCCTCTTACCATAATTATGATTAAAGCGGGTACTACGATAGCGTATATTGCTCCAGTTTCTATATTTAGCCAGCATCTGAAAATGAATGTTAAAATGTTTGAACAATTGGAATATTCTAACATTGAATTATTTGAATGTATTTCGCAACAGTAGTGTAAATAAAACTAATGGAGTGTACTGAAAGCTTTTTTGCAGATTTTTTTTCCAAAACTAGATGTGTTAGTTCCTTGTTATATAACATTATTAGGTGAATTAGTAAAAAAAAAAAGAGAGAAGTGAGTAAACTTCTCATCCAAAATGAAACCTTTATTTCAGTGACCTTCCCGGAGTGTCAATCGAATTTAAACAATTGACGAATCAGAACATCGCTAAGGACGCACAAACACACGTGTGTTGTGTGTCCCATTAACGCGCGTGTTTACGTATGACTACACTTTCTTTTTGTGGGACTTCAGTTACAATACCGTAAAACCTCGAATTGAAGCCCAATGGGCTTAATCTCGAGATGAAGCCCATCTTCAAACATATTATATTATAATAAAAATATTGTACGGTATAATATAGCCGTCACAGACTTTCAGGACGATCACGTGATACGTTTACTTAAATGAAAAAAGAATATAAATTAACATTTAGATACGTTTTGCTTGGTTTAAGTGCATCTACTTCAAATGAATCTGCTCTTATTGAGTATTCCTCATAGAATTGATTAGCGCCATCCTGTTTAATAGTGGCGCTATGAATAAATAGTAGGCCAGGTGTCTTGTCTTGTTACCTTACTCTGTACCATAGTAAAGTTATTTAATATGCGATTGGATGGTCATACTCACGGATTAGTTGTGTTATAATTATCTATATCAACGGCAACTGTAATAACGACAATTACTACGGAGACACCGTAGCAAATTATTAAATAATATCGAGGAATGTTTCGTTTTGTTGAATTGGGTTTCGTGACTTTCAGTGCGATAAAGACTGCCTCGGCCATCATCCACATAAATAAACTGAGAAGTGTAAAGTGTAAAGTTACACCAACGAATCGACACACCTAAGAAAGATAACAATTAGTAAAAAAAAAGTTTATGTGCTTATAGAAACTTTTTAGTGAACATAGTAATCCAGTAACTGCAATTTATATATACAACTATTTGGACATAAGCAATGGCGGTGCCAAGCGGTGGTGTGGAGTGGAGAGTTTTTACGACTCCCCGTCGGACAGGCTGAAATCTCCCACCTGCTACAATTTGTCTGATACCCTAAATTACGTTATTTTGACTGCCAATCCTGTTGTGGGCTAAAAGCACATTTTGGACCACACTAAGGAATAAAAAAAACTCTCCTCGTGAAAAAGCGGAAATACTTTTTTCTTTAAAACAATATAAGTACTTTAGCACAATACGTACTAAAACGTCACAGAACAGATTAAAATGCCCAAATATTTTCCAGTTGTTCAATAAACCCCTGGGCCTCCATCAAGGCTTGGACCCTACGCGGGAATTGAGTTATAAACCGTCAACCCTGTTGGAGAGCTTAGGCAAATCCTGGTGGCATCGCACCACTGCATGTAAGTAATACATAATAAAGATTTTTTTTTCTTCCAGAAGTAGCCCAGTTTGCATTGGCTTTTTCACGTGTAGCTGTGTTTTGCTTTCTTTGTAACTTACCAAAGAAAGTTGCCTTACAAATTTTCAAAACCAGACATTTGAAATGGGAAATAACTACTGTATAGAGATAGAAATTGCAAATACAACGCTGAGCACTCAGATTACACATACGTTTACTTATTATATGCTAAAAAAAATTAAGAAAATATAAAACACAAATTAACATCTCGTTTTGTAAATACTTGCCTCATTTTTATTACTGTCGATTCCACTGAGGAATGTAATATACGTGGCTATTAGATTTAGTACAAGGTTACCGTGAATGAAAATCCGAGTCGATCTCCACAAGTCCCTTAAAGACAGAAATTGACATCAATTAAAAATATTGTGTAGATACACGCACACCATCCAAGAGATAGAACAGTTAGGCCCTAACTGTGGCATTTGATCAAATCGCATAGGAATAGTATTTCGACAGCTGGTGGCTGATGCTGCTGTCGTTGCTGCTGCTACTGTTGTTGCTGCTGCTGCTACTGCTACTGCTGCTGCTGCTACTGCTTCTGCTGCTACTGCTTCTGCTACTGCTGCTATTGCTGCTACTCTACCGCTGCTGCTGCTACTACTACGGCTACTGCTGCTACAGCCGATGCGTCTGCTACTGCTACTTTTACTGGTTCTACTACTACTACTCTACTACTCCTGCTACTGCTGCTGCTGCTGCTGCTGCTGCTACTGCTACTGCTACTGCTACTGCTACTGCTACTACTACTGCTACTACTACTACTACTACTACTACTACTACTACTACATAACCTACTACTACATAACCTACTACTACTACTACATAACCTACTACTACATAACCTCCTACTACATAACCTCCTACTACATAACCTCCTAGGTTAACGTACCTGAAAAAGCAATAGACAGGTAGGAGTAGTAATAAGCTCAGCAGTGATATTCCCAAACATACATTTGTAATCATATCAAGCGCCTTCGATTCCTGAATATTAATCAGAATATATATACAAACAATAACGGATTAGATTTCTGTTCACATTATAGACTATAACATGATGCGTTATATTAAACTAGGCGTGTCGTCGAAGCTAACAACCACAAGAAATCCTTGAATAACCATGTATTGCCCCCCCCCCCATGCTAGAGTCCACTCTCTCTTGTCTGTTGATCAATCAATCGATCGATCAGTCACATAGGCGTAGATCCCCCAATATTTGACAAGGGGGGGGGGGATGGTCCATTGTATCATCCCCCCAATATTTTGACTATGTATGGGATAAAATGGAGCTTTACACACTTCAAAAGACTGTCACAGAAATAGTTTGCACTGTCTTATGCGCTTACAAAGATGAAAATTAGCATAATATATTAATGTTGATAACAAAATTATTTTATCTGGTACCAATCTAAGCTCTTCTTTCCTTAAATGTTAGATGTGCTTGCAAAGAGAGCCACATTTCACACTGAAGGATGTGTAAATCAGTAATGTTATGTCAATTCCAAGAATGTTTAAGGTCATATCGGTTTATGAGGAATTTATTGGTTAGGCCTATTAGTAAATTGCATCAATTTATTTTGCAAAAAAAAGGTTTCCAGCTTCAGAGGGGGGCATATCTCCTGTCCGCACAAGGGCACACATTGGCGCTAACACCAGGCGCGTAACAGGGGTCTTGGGTCAGAGTGGGTATTTATTTATTTTATTTTTATTTTTTTTATTTCAACCATCTTTAGAGAGGGTAACCCTTCCAGTTTAGCCCAGTAGGTTAACCGATATTCAGGGGCCCTCTTTAATAAAATTAAAGAACAGTACAAACAACATCATTACAGCATAATAATAATAATAATAATAATAATAATAATAATAATAATAATAATAATAATACAAATAATAATAAAAATAATAATAATAATAATAATAATAATAATAATAATAACAATAATAATAATAATAATAATAATAATAATAATAATAATAATAATAATAATAATAATAATAATAATAAACATACAATCCTCATTTCCCGATTAGTAATTTACCATATCCACCCCACCCCACCCAACCCCACTCCCCATATAGAAAACAATACGACATAGGGTTTATCTTATTTATAATATAGGCCACACACGTGTGTTTGAAACTAAATATAAGCTTTATCATCATGGTTTTATTTATTACAAACATATTCTTTAGGCACTTTCAGCGGATGCATTTGTCAAGGGTGGAGAAAGATTTTGCAAAGATGGATATTTTCCCCTTGTCCCCCGGTGTTTTAAATTCTAATTTCGTTGGAATTGATCAAAACTCCCTAAAATGTGCAATTTTTAGAGGAAATTGGGCCATGTTAACAAGAAATGCGCGCGAAATTTGAGGTTTTTAGGCACTTTAAGGGGATGAAAGGGCATTTATAAAGGGGTGGGGAAGATTTTTCAAAGATAGATATTTACCCCCAGTCCCCCAGTGGTTACGCCATCGGGCAGCATAGATCAAAGGAGTTATGACAGTTTGTGGAGAAGGGGTTGCAAGGTGTTGTTAATCTGGTCATTATGATATCTTGCTTTTTATTCTTTTCTTTTCCTCTTCTTTTTCTTTCCCCCCCTTTCCCCTCTTTCTTTTCTCTTATTACCCAGC